TTCGTCGTAGTCGTCGCCATCGCCGTCGCCGTCGCCGTCGCCGCCCCGCCGTCGTCGTCGTCGTCGTCGTCGTCGTCGTCGTCGTCGTCGTCGTCGTCGTCGTCGTCGCCAGCGTCGTCGTCGTCGTGCTCAGTCTCGTCGTCGTGATCGTGGTCGCCGTCGTCATCGTCGTCGTCATCGTAGTCGCCGTCGCCGTTGCCGTCGCCGTCGCCGTCGCCGTCGTCGTCGCCGCCATCGCCGTCGTCGTCGTCGTCGTCGTCGTCGTCGTCGTCGTCGTCGCCGTCGTCATCGTCGTCGTGTTGCCGTCGTTGTCCTCGTCGTGATAGTCGCCGTCGCCGAACGCGCTGTGAGCCCGCGGAGGCCTCGGACGGCCTCCGGGATGCCAGGGGCGCCCTTCCCGGGGGCAGCGCGGCGTCCTCGCGCGCGCGGAGGCCAAGAATTACTTCAGAGCCTTCAGTCGCGACTTTTCTACGGCCAGGGCGTCGTCGGTGCACAAGCTCACCCAACACTTGTACACTGCACTCGCGGCGTTCCCCCGCCTTCCCTCTTTCCGCCTCCCCCCTGGCCCCCCTCCTGGATGTTCCGTGCTTCGTCGTAGCTCTTTGTTGTGGGCTGCTGATGCTGCAACTCACTGTGCCCATGCATCCCTCTGCATTCTCGGCCGTGTGTGTGTGTTACTCGTGTTCCGGAGGGGCGCCGTCACCGCACGCCTAGGGCTGGAGTGTGAAGTCTACATCCTGGATTGCCTCCAGGAGGGCATCTTTGGCTAACACTGTATACGGGGACCCGTGAGACACCTTGTTAAAGAGGTGAAAAGCTCTCACGAGGTTCCACAACAACGCAGGATTCGCTGGGAGAAGGCCCCAGCGCTCCGGAGGGGCGCATCTTCGTGCGGCCCATCGTGGAGTCGCCGGCTCTGCTAACGGCACGATCGGCTTCCCGAGGCAGCTCAGCACGCCTTTTTGCGCCGCCGGGTGCGTCGCCCCTCCGCCCGCCCCCGGCCCCGCCGTCGTGCGCCATCCCTCTGCCCTTCCCCTGCTCTCGCTCGCTGCTGTCGCTCCCCTCTCCTCGCTCTCTTGTCGGCCTCAGGCTCGTCCCGGTCCCCGGGCATCGCCTCATCCTGCCCCGAAGGAGGGGGGAGGAGCTGGGAAAGACGGACCCCTCGTGGCTAGGGAGCCGAGCCTTCGCATGATACGTGAGGAAACTTTATATAGTACTTCGAAGCGTTGGGCCCCCGAAGCCGCCCCCGCCCCGCAGAATGACGAGCGGTTCCTGCCCTTTGCTGTGCATGTCTGGGCCGTCCACCTGGGCGCTGGCGCTGGCCGCACTGCACCCGCCCTCTGCCGCCGCTCCGTGCTGCGCCTCGTCGGGCCGCGCCTGTGACGCTGCAGGTGCTCAGCTGCCCCGATGCGCAACACGCAACACGCAGCGTATTGACACGGAGCCCCACACGTAGGCTGAAGACGTAGGTCCGACGCGATACATTCACCCAAACGTGGTCCAATACGTGAAATCAACACGCAGTGCATTGACACGGGCGTCTGGAGCACGGCACGTGCTGCGTATCCAAGCGGGCGTATCGAGGCAGCCAAGTGCAGGTGTGCCTGGCCGCCGTGCACCTCTCTCTCTCTCTCCTTGGAACTGCACGCGCAGCCCCCCTCTGCTGGCTGTCCCCGCCTCCAGCGGCACACGCTCGGCGGTAATCAGCTCGGCGCGCTCCGTTGACGCCCTCGCTGCGCTGAGCCAACTGGCTGCGAAGTAAAAGTGTGTGTGTGTGTACAGTCAACCCGGACAGTAAGGATGCGCGATAAGGGTGCAAGGGCCTTGGACACCCATTTCGAAGCTTCTCGAGCGGAGCGCCGCCAACGAAAGTGGCCAAGGATGGACCGAGGAGGCAAGGATGCAGGGGTACCCTTGGGCAGGCTGCCCATCTTTACTATGCGGGTTGACTGTACGTGTGTGTGTGTGTGTGTGTGTTTGTGAAGAAATCTGGGTCGGGAGGAGGAGGAGGAGGAGGAGGAGGAGGAGGAGGAGGAGGAGGAGGAGGAGGAGGAGGAGGAGGAGAGGACCCCCTCCCTTGACCCGCTGTGGGGGCGCGTGCTGACCAGGACTTCGAGGCGGGCCCAGCCGTGGCGGCGAGGGGCGCCCCCCGGATGCCCGAGGTGGTCCAGAAACGCCTGAAAGCCGAGACCCTCGAGGTTCGATCCTCGAGCTCCTCCTCCTTCCCCTCCTCACCCTCCTCCATTCCCTCTCCTTATGAATAGCTTCTCGCTGTCGCACCCCGATGCCACTTTGAAGGGCGGGCTGGGCGTTTCGCTTGAGACTTCCTTGCCATTCATGAGCCTGAAGTCTAAACGCCGACAACAATTTCGCACATGGAGGGCGGGTCTCTCCCCCAATGAGGCTCTCGCTTAAACTCGGTAAACACGTTGCAACAATTTCACGGATTGACGGCGGGACGTTTCCAACATGTGACTCCCGCCTCAGCGCCGGGCGAATTCGTCTTAAACGAGTTTCACGGATTGAGGACAGGTGGTTTTCAAAAGGTGGCTTTCGCCTCAGTGCCGCGCATATTCGGTTCACACATTTGCGAGAATTTGCAGATTAAGGGCGATTCCTTTTCAACAGGTGAATCTCGCCTTAACACCGCGCAAGTTCGGTTTAAACATTTCCAACAGCTTAACGGATTGAGGTCGGTTCCCTTTTCAACATGTGGCTCTCGCCTAAGCGCCACGCGATTCAAACATGTGCACGAGTTTCACTGTTTCTCATAGTTCGCCATCCAGAAGCGGCGTCTTGGAACGATTGCAGGATTGACAGGGCGCAACAATTACGTTGATTCGCGGTGTTGAAGTCCCAGGAACAGTGGTCTGGCAAGATTCAGGATCGTCGAGACGCTACAGTCAGGTTGACTCGTGGCGATGAAGTCCTGAGAATGGTGTTTTGGCACGCGTCAAACTTTTCACACGGTTGTCCCCCAGCGGGGCACTTCCCTCAGTGAAAATGAACCCTTGTAGGGGCCTGTCAGGACGGATATTGGGGGGGGAGGGTGTATTCCAATATCGTTGATGGATCTTGGGTTTACACTGGTCCTCCTCCTCCGCCTCCCCCTCCTCGTCCTGCTCCTCCTCCTCCTCACCCCCCTTCTGGAAGCTGGACAATAAAAGCTCGAAAACCTGGAAGCTCGAAGTTCGAACCTTGAGCTCCTCCTCCTCCTCCTCCTCCTTTTCCTCCTCTTCCTCCTCCTTCTCCTCCCTCTCCACCTCCACCTCCACCTCCCCCTCTCCTCCCACCACTCCCCCTCCCCCTCCACCTCCTCCTCCACCTCTCCCTTCCCTCCCCCTACTCCCCCTCCCCCTCCTCCTCCTCATCCTCCTCCCCCTCCTACTTGGGAATGAGAATCCACAAGCTACGGCAACTCGGAGCGAAGCGGGAGTCCCCCCCTCCAGATCCTCCAGCCGAGTGGTTAGACTGTTCCCCTTTCGGAGGGGCGTGGGAAAACCATTCCAACGCCTCCATGCCAATGCCACCTTTTACAGCATCACCCGCATTACATGGCGAGCTCAGACAGGAGCTAGAAGGAGAGCCACCAGGGCAATCAACTGACAATCCTGGCTTTGGACAATGGAGTCTGTAAAGGGGTGTGCCTCAAAAGAAAACCCCCTTCCCCCCTACATATGAGCGTGTAGCAATCAGCTGTTCCACTACATGTTTGCCTTTCTTTCGTGCAGCATTTTTCGCATCCTTACTTGCAACGCTAGTGCTCAAGGTTCCTTCAGCCAAACGGGGCTCGGGGTGGGCGTTGATTGGCTTTGGGGGTGGAGGTTTCCAAGGTCAAATTCTATGATCGTCAGCCTCTCCTGCGCGGGTAGGACAAAGTACGGCTAGCAGTCCAACGCACTAGAAGGTGTAAGGCTTGAGCCCAGCAGCGCTATTATTGCAAAGACTTGGCTGTCAGTCGGGGACTCCCCCCGGCTCTCACCTCATCCTCCTTCGCCTCCATCCACAACGTTTTCAGACAGCCATGCCAGAATAGCGGCCAACCCGTGTGGTGGAAAGGCCGGGGTTGGGATACTGGCTTGGGTCGTGGGGGGTTCAAAGTTCCGTTTTCGTATAAATTTCCAACTCTCCTGTACGGGCAGGACACAGCAAGGCTATAATAACGGCGCACTAGGATGTGTAAGTCCTGCCCCTCCCGATTTCCATTGCTTCACTCCGAGCTCAGAGCAATGGTTGGCACCCAATGTCAGTGGCGCAGGCCACCGTGCATCTTCTAGCTTATCCTGTCACGAACTTGCGGGTGTAAGCAAATGCAAACCTGCAGGTTGGCGTCTAGGAGGCTTCTCAACATTCGGGATGGGGACAGCAGAGGCGGGGGTGGTCGCGGAAGGTCGGGCGCAGGCTTCAGCTCCGCAGTGCAGTGTTCGGCCACACTTGGCAGACCCGGAGGGCCAGGGACGGCAAAGATCGGTGGAGTCGCACTCGAGCCTCTCCAGGCAACGTGCACGGCCAGATCGAAGTCTGGCAGCGTCGCTCGTTGGCCTAGCAACGCAGTGGTTCAGGAGTCATCTCCTCATTTTTCATCTTCCTTCGTCCCTCTGAGGAAGGGCTTGGTGGAGCATCGCTTCTCTGGCAACGGCTCAATGGAGGGTCAATTGCTGGCTTTGCGCGACACTGCCTCCTTAGAGTCATCCCCTGAAGCGACAGGAAAAGCAAGACAGATCCTCTTCCTCCTCTTCCTCCTCCTCTTTCTCCTCCTCCTCATCCTCCTCCATCCTCCTCCTCCTCCTCCTCCTCCTCCTCCTCCTCCTCCTCCTCCTCCTCCTCCTCCTCCTCCCCCTCCCCCTCCTCCCCCTTCTCCCCCTCCTCCCCCTCCTCCACCCCTGGAAGATGGACTTGAGCCTTCGAGCTCCCCCTCCTTCTCTTCCTCCTCCTCCCCCTCCACCTCCCCCTCCCCCTTCTCCACCCCTGGAAGGTGGACACTTTGAGCCCTCTTCGGCCTGCGGCCCGGCGCCGCCGCCGCCCTCGCCATCGGACGAGTCACCGCTGCCCGCGGCGACCGCCGTGGCCTCGGGCACCTCCGGGGGCCGCTCTCAGCTGCTGTTGGCCGTGCGCGCTTGTGCGCGCCCGTGTGGCGACTAACAAGGGGAACGAAACATAACGTAAGCATGTTATCCAGCGTGGTCCCCAAGCAGTGTGCTTCTAGCCATGTATGTGGTCCACTCTATGTGGAGGAACATCTGTGGTGCAATCTAGGTGGTGTTGTATATGCAGTGCAATTTATGTGGCGCAGTATGAGTCCTGCGATGTAAGTTGTGCGGCATATGCGATGCAAACTATGTTGTGCTTGATTTTGGAAAGCTTGGAATTGTCAGCTCCACTGCCCTCGCAACCATCCCACCCACCCACCCGCAACTTGGTTTGCAAAACCCATGCGGCGGCGATTCGGATGAGTGCTTGGTGTTGGCTGGTGCATCTCAGCGGCCGCGCTAGCCCGTGCATGCTCGCGCGCACAGCGGCCAGCTTGTTTGGCGCGACCGACGCGGTCGCGGTGGCGCGGACCGCTGGGCACTGCTCAGCGGGTACTTCAATGCGAGTCGGTGACTTGGACAGTCGCGGTATCATGGCGACGTCGGCACCAGTAGACACTATTATGATAGTAGCTATGATGGTGACGATGGTGAAGGTGATGACGGCAAGGCATATGACGGCGCCGATGCTGATCACGCCGATGACGATGACGGTGTCATCGAGCTGGTGATGAAGGTTTTGGATGGAGTTCAACATGCGCGCGCGGCCGATGCGCGCGAGTGGCCCGAGCGATATTTTTTGACAGGGGTCGTGACCCCCCAGCACGCGCGCAAGGGCAATCGAATGACCTCGACGTGCGGCGCGTGAGGCTCGTTCGGTCGAATTTGACGAACATGTTAAAACACCTGTCGCTGTCTTCAGAATTCGCAAGAGCGCGCGCATACCTTTTTTGAAAACTGCTGTTGTAAAACTATCTTTTAATGCTTTCGGAACACTCGGTTTTTTTTCAAGGCATTACGACAAGATCGTCACAAGACGTCCGATGAGGCCCCCAGGCGGGCCCCAAGATGGCCCAATAGGGCCCTAAGACGGCCCCAGGGGCCCCCAATACGGCGCAAGAGAGCCCCAAGAGGACCCCAAGATAGCCCAAGAAGGGGAATACTAACTGATATTTCGCGCCTTTCCCTCCAAGATGGCCCCAAGAGCGCCCAGAGGCCCCCGAGGCGCCCCAAGAGGCCTCCAAGACGCCCCCGAGAGGCCCCCCAAAGTCTCCACTCTGCACCCAAGAGGCCTCCAAGAGGCCCCTGAGAGGCCCCCCAAAGTCTCCCCTCTGCACCCGAGAGCCCTCCCAGAGGCCCCTGAGAGGCATCCCAAGAGACCCTCCTATTCATCCGAGAGGCTCCTGGCCCACCGCCCACGCACAGTGACGGGTTGGGCCGCCGTCGGCGGGCGGCCCCCATGCTGCTGTGCGATTTGGCGGGGCCCGCCCCGAAGGCCACTAGATAACTTCCACGGTCGTCGCAAGCTCTGACTCCTTCTGGGGGTCGGCGGAATGAGGCCGCTTGAATAAGACACATCGGCATGAACAGAAACTGTTGCACGGCCACGCGGATTTCTCGGATTGGCGCTGAGCGGGTGCCCCAGCGCCGATCCGAGATATCCAGCAGGAGGAGGAGGAGGAGGAGGAGGAGGAGGAGGAGGAGGAGGAGGAGGATACGGAGGATAAGGAGGAGGAGGAGGAGGAGGAGGAGGAGGAGGAGGAGGAGGAGGATAAGGAGGATAAGGAGGAGGAAGAAGAGGAGGAGGAGGAGGAGGAGGAGGAGGAGGAGGAGGATAAGGAGGAGGAGAAAGAAGAGGAGGGCCGGTCTGACCATCGGGCGCCTGCGCCAGCAGCCGCGCCTGGTGCCCCCGCCGGCAGCACGGCCCAGGCGGAGGGGCGGACGATCGAGCTGATCGGGGTTCGATTGGGGACGGCCGCGGGCTGCAGGAGGCCCTCGTCGCGCCATTGGCTCGACGTCACCCCTCCCCCTGAGATCCTGGCGTCACATTTTTCCATACTCGAGATTCGATGTCGCCCTGTTTCGGGCCCCAGGGCCCTCACGGATCAACCCCGCTCGAGTGATGCAACAGAAGGATTAGGTCCAGGCCCGTCGTAATTTTCGAAGATGTGTATTTTCCCGCGACGTCGGAATTCAGCCCCCCCGCCCCTGTCCTCTGTAACCCCCGGCAGCACGGTTCGTGTCGTGGCGATGTGGGCGTTGGCATCTAACACCGCGGGGATCGTTCGAACTGGAGCGACCGTGGCCTTCCGACAGCGCAGATCAATCGACATCGGCCGATTCTGGGCTACTGGTTGAGCTCAAACTTAGACGCCCGTGCTGGGTTCGCCGCCGCGCCGACACGACGCGAAGCTGCCGCATCCCCCTCTGGTGAGGCTTCGGGTTGCGCGCGGACTGCCTTCACAGGTAGTCTCGGCTGGCCTCAACAGGCCCTCCGAGTAGACCAGGGCGGTCTCAACACCCCACCCTTGGGGCGCCTCAGGGGCGCCGCCAGAGGCGGCGCTGGGCTACTCGGTGGGCCTGTTGATTCCAGCCGGAACTACCTGAGGGGCTGTCTGGTTTGGACCCCTTAGCGTTCGCTGGCTTCTCATCCCGGATCACTTTTCAATGCTCCTGGAAGCCGAGAACCGCTTCTCGGATCGCCACCTGGTTTTGCACCTTTGTACGGCTGTCTTCCTTGACGCACCTGGACGCGCCCAACGAAAGCGCGCCACTAGGTGCCCCAGTACTTGTAAACGGCGGGTGTGATCGCAGAACCCCCCCCCGCCCCTCCCCTTCAAAGATGGAAGAGAATTTCGGACCCCCCCCCTCCCTTTGAAAGGGGGAGGGATTTCGAACCCCCTTCCCCCTTTCAAATGGGGAAAAGGGGGGTCTGGACCCTCCCCCTTTGCACTGGAAAGGGGGGGGGGTCGATTTCGGACCCCCCCCTTCCCCCCTTTGCGCTGGGGAGGGGGCCGGGGAGGGAGCCTCTCCCGCTTCTCCTATCTGCGCCGGAAGAGGTGGGTGGTGAGTAGTGAGTGGTGAGTAGTGCGTACTGAGTAATGAATCGTGGTAGCGAGTAGTGAGTAGGGAGTAGTGAGCAAAGAGTCCTGAGTAGCAGGTAGGGAGTAGCGACTAGTGAATAATGAGTAGCAAGTAAGGAGTAGCGAATATTACATACTGAAGAGTAGCGAGTAGGGAGTAATGCGTAGTGACTCGTGAAGAGTGAGTACGGAGTAGGAAGTTGGGACTAGAGACTAAAGAGTAGGGACGAGCGAGTAGTGAGTAGTGAGTAGTGAATCGTGGGTCGTGAGTAGTGGGTTGCGAATAGGTGGGTAGTGGGTAGTGAGTAGTGAGTTGTGGGTTGTATGTTGTGACTAGTGAGTAGTAAGTATTGAGCAGTGAGAAGTGAGTGCTGAGTAGTGAGTAGTGAGTAGTGATTAATGAGTAGTGTATAGAGAGAAGTGAGTACTGGGTCGTGAGTGGTGGGTACTGAATAGTCAGTAATGAAAAATGTGTAGTGGGTAATGAATAGTGAATAGTGAATGGTGAGTAGCGTATAGGGAGTCGTGAGTTGTGAGTAATGAAAGGTGAGTAGTGAATAGTTAGTAGTGGGTCGGGGGGGTAGCGAGTAGTGAATAGTAAGTAGTGAATCGGGAGTAGTGAATAGTGCGAGTGAGTAGTGAGTAATGAGTAGTGAATAGTGGGTACTGGTTAGTGAATGGTGAATACTGAATTGTTCGTGAGGGCAGGGTGCAGGAATTCTGATTACGGGTTAGGGCTCTGGGTGAGTTTAAGGTCTATGTTGAGGTTTAGGGTGTGAGGTTCGGGTGGGGGGTAGGGTTAGGGCTTGAGGTAGGGGTTAGGACAAACTATCCACCCGCCCGCACGCCGTCTAGCTCACTCCCACCCGCCCTCCCGAAACATACGTAACACACGAGCCTAAGCATGTTCAGCAGTCGTTTTTGAATGGGCAGCTACTGGGAATCAAAGCCGACGCCAGGTGCGCGACGTTTGGGCAGGGTGCGCCACGCGTGCCAGGGGCGCCTGGTGCGCCAAATGCGCCACGTGCTCCCAGTGCGCCATGTGTGCCGCACGCTCTAGCCGCGCCAGGTGCGCCACGTTCGAGGCACGTGCAGAATGCGTTAGGTGAGCCTGCGCACGCGACAGCACACATCGGGAAACATGTCGGCCCCCACAATCCTTGTCGAAAACCAATGCCCATCATTGTGTCTGGTGGGCCTGCTGCGCACAGCATGCCACGCGCCACCACCCCCGCCGTCCGTCAAAAACCACTTGTCAATGATCGCGGGGTGGCCGCGCATGATCCAGATTTAGCCGCGAGGTGCATGTTGCATATTTTTGTTTGGGATGGTAGCCCTGCGCGCAGCAGGAATATGCTGACACCCCCGCCGCCCCTGTCAAAAACAATACAAAATGCTCGCGGGCCTCACGAACATGACTCAAGACTTTGCCCCACAATGTACTTTATATTAATTTTGACAAGGATGGTGGGGCGCATCGGGTTGGCCGGGCATGCTCCCAATGTGGAGGCAAAATGCGTTTTGTATTGTTCTTTGACAAAGATGGTGTGGGGGGGGCCTGCATGGGGTTGGCATCGTTCCGGGTTGGCCGCCGGCCGGGTGGGGAAGGGGGTGTTATTAATAGCGAGCAATGATTTAGAGGGGTGGTAGGGATCGGGTTCTGGAGCCAGGGGCCGGCTTGGCGAAGGGGGGGGGCGGGGGGGGGGGCGAGTTTCGAGTCCAAAAGGGGGGAGAGGGGGTCCGGACCCCCCCCTCTTATGAACGGCGAGGGGAGGGGTGTCCGCCGACGACGGACTGGGAAAGGGAGGAGCGGGGGGGTCCGCCGACGACGGAGCGGGAAAGGGGGGGCTTCCGCCGACGGCGGACTTGTGAAAAGGGGTGGGGGGGGGCGCCCCGGACCCCCACCGCTTTTGGGGCATCCAGCGGCGCGCCCTCCAACTCAGCGATGCTCCACTGGAGCCTTGG